ATTGGTGGGAAAATGATATACTCAACAAGAAGGTTTGGTAGATTATTATACTTAACTATCACAAGGCCTGACTTAGCACACTTTGTCCAAATACTTAGCCAATTTCTTGCTACTCCTACCGTTAGTCATCATAAAGTTCGAGTGTTGAGATATCTGAAAGCTACACCAAGACAAGGTCTATTCTTCCCCCCTTCTTCAGACTTACAATTAAAGGCTTTTTCCTATAGTGACTGGGCGGGTTGTGTAAACACTCGAAGAAGTGTCACTGGTTTTGCAATTTTTCTTGGTAGCTCATTGATTTCATGGAAATCAAAGAAACAACTCACCATTAGTCGATCATTAGCAAAAGCAGAGTATCGAGTACTTGCAACAACTGCATGTGAAATTCAATTGCTCCTTTATGCCAAGACCTGCACATTGCTCATCCACAACCAAGTTTCCTCTATACAGACAACAAATCAACATTCTCAATAGCCACTAATCCAATTAAGCACGAAAGGACGAAACACATTCAAATCGACTATCGCCTTGTTTGAGAAAAGTTGCACCAAATTGTTATAAAACTTTTCCACATCCCATCACGACTTTAGCTCGCAGATATCTTCACAAAGCCCCTCGACTATTTATCTTTCCATCACATTCTTCGCAAGATGAACCTTCTTAACATACATGTTCGTCTTGAGGGGTGTGTTGGTGTATTGCATCACACATTGACAATATGGAATTAAAAAGAAAAGAAGCAAAAACAAAAATAGAAGAAAGGCCCGCTGGGAAGAAGAGTTAGTTGAGTTAGGAGTTAGTTATTTTCTATTATTCAGTTCAATTAGTTGTTAGGTTGTTTTATAAATATAGCTGAAGGTTTGTTGTAATTCATTCAAATTACATTTTAATACAATAAAATAAAAGATGCATTTTCTTTCCAAGATTTTTCTCTCTCCTGCTATTCTCGAGAATCACTATTCAAAATATTATTTTTTTAAGAATAATCGCCATTAAATAGGGGCTTAGATAAAAGGTTAAGGGTGGTTATCTTGTCATCACACTTTTTATTTCATACACCATATTTTAATTGCAGTTAAACTCTTCAATCTTTGTTCATTGTTGCACCTCATTTCTTAATGTTTTTCAGTCAAATTCTTATCCTAGACGTTCCATTAATTAGTACACATCATCCTTGATAATGATTTATATCATAATATTTTATTTTCATGCTTTAAAATGAGTGGAAAATATTTTCGCACTTTTTATTTATTTATTTTTTAAAAAATATATGATAGAAAAATAAGTTATTTTACGTCATTTCAACGGATTTTTGAACACAAAACTGTTACCAAATACAAAATGTATTAATTAATAAAAAATTTGAGAATAAGAATGACATGAAAAATCGTCATGGAAATAAATGTTATAATGAGCAGAGGTTAACAACTTTAAATGCAATCAAAATGTGGTGAAAAAAAAATAAAAATTCCGGTGTGAATATTAAAACTTTTATGACGTTGTAAGTTAGAATGTCATATAGTCCCTATTTGTCTCTCATTCTTTCATTTTTTTTATATACTCCTTTTTAACCACACATTCACACAATAAAATATTCTGCACGTAAAATCAAATTTTTTCTACTTTTTAACCACACATTCTTCAAAAATTTACTATTCAAAACAATGTTTTATTAAAAAAAAATGGTCACCAAACAGGAACATAGTTATTATGCTCAAGATCTGTTGCGATTTGATTATTAATTAAGCAATTGTTTGGTTTTGCAAAATGATTCTGGATTCTATTAGTGTGAATTGTGCAATTGAAAATGGGAAAAAAGAAGAAAAAGTCTTCCTAGTTTGTCGTGGTGATGACGAAAGACAGTTGCAATGGAAGGTGATGACCGCGGGAGGTGGAGGCGTGACTGTGGGTTTGGTTTAGGTGGAAGTAGGAAAAACGATGAACTATTTTAAGTGAAAAATGTAAAGTCATCATTTTAAAGTTAATTAAAATATGATCAAATTTAGTTAGCTTGGTCAATTGATGGACATATGGATGAAAATTGTCCATATGTCCGTAGGCTACGCACAAATAAAATGTTTGAGACCGTGGATGCAACAAATAAAATATTACAGCAAAAGCTAATACAAAGTGAAAGGTTCGTGATCATAATTGCAATTATCCTAAAATTTTCCCTACCTTAAAAGTTGCTTAAATAACTTTAAATTCAAAAATTGTTTGAAAAATTTATGTTTATGTTACTTATTTAGTTTTGTTGAGAATTAATCGAAATATAGTAATAATGTTATCAAATCAAATTAAAGTTATCTGTATTTGTTTGTTTCAACTATGTTCGTTTTATGCTTCAGAGAAAAGAAATATAAAATGTAAGGGTGCATTTAGTTTATTATTTTCAAGCCGATTTCATTTTTTCAAAACATCCAAAACTTGCCAGGTATGCTATTTTTGAAAATGTATTTTTGAAAACACGATTAAATTTATAACATAAAACTCAAAATGCAATTTAATATTTTGAGTGTTCAGCGAAAATGCTGAAAACAATCGAAACACGGAAAATATACGATTAAATAAAATTTTAAAAATTAAAAATTCTAGAAAAAAAATTATAAAATTATAAAAAAAATCAAAAAATATAAAATACAAATACAAATTGGAAAATTCTAAAATAATTAAAAATTAAGTTCCTAAATTCCAAAAAAAAAAAAATAAGAATTATAAAAAAAATTCTAAAATTCTAATATTCTAAAAAAATAGAATTGTAAAAAATTCTAGAAAAATGAAGAATCTAAAGAATAAAAATAGTTTGAGATCTTAATGGTTATTTACAAAAAAAAATTGAAAATTATATATTTAAATAATCACATATAAAAATTCAAGTCCACATCACTAGTTTTTATTTTTTATTTCCTATATTTTGTCAAATCAATTTAATATTAATTTTGTAATAGAAAAAAAGTACTGTAAAATTCATCAATTTTAAAATGTGCATATTACTTGATAGCATATTAACATATATTTTTTTAAATTTTACTGAATTATCAAACTTTATGGAAAAAAAAACTATTATAAGTTAATTTCTCAAAATATCAAATAGGACGTGTTTTTTAGTTTTGAATTTTAAGAAACAGTTTTTTAGAATAACAAATCAAATTTATTTTTATTAATCTTAAAATTGATCATCAAATTTGAATATTAAAAATGAACTTAAAATTCAAAAATCCAAAAGCTGAGAGAACAAACGCGACTTTGGCATGAGAAAAAGCTCCGCATGGAGGAAAGAAGTAAAAAAGATGGTTAATCCTATTTTAACGTGTACGTGACAACAGACATGATCTTATTTGTACAATTCAATGACGTACCAAATGTCGTTGATATTAATTAATCGTACATAAAAATAGTACATAAACGATTATATAAAATGACGTGAAGAGAAAAAATTGGATGAAAAAGTTAATTCTATTTTCAAATGATAAATAATAGAGTATCATATAATATTATGTAATCCATTATATAAATATTTATATACATATAGCAAGATCCTAATCTTTTTTTTTTCAAAATTATTTAGAAGCACATTTTTTATACGTTAGCTAATACGTTATCCTTGTTTTTCGTCATAATAAGGTAAGTCTCCATTTGGATACAATTTTATAAATAGTTATAAATTCAATCGAAGCGAAACATTATTATTTATTTTCAATAACATATTTATAATTGTTACTCATTATTATTTTCACATTTTTGTGGGATTAACTATTGTTCCTTTTTATACTCCATTTTTATAAATTTGACAAACAAAAGATGAACATAATATTTCTAAAATACTTATAAAAGATTTCAAAATAATGCGCAACAAACATTTTGCTATAACGAGTTTTGCTAAATGCTACATATAGATTAGAATAATACTATCTAATATCAATTTTGGTGCAAGAATATTGTAATATATTATAATAAATGAGTTATAAATTTTTTGTATTTAATTGAACCTATAATT